CATGTGAAGTATTCTGACCCTGGCTAGGTCACACAATGCCTATCCTATACAATGTTTATGGCTTACACATTATCCTCTTTGATGCATACTCAGACAGCCTTTCTTCAAGTTGCAGAATAACAGCAAAAGTAATCTGGCTTGACCAATGATGCATAACAGGATCACACATGATAGTAACAAGTTTGAAAATCATATACACTAAAGCACTTATCTCTAACTGTAAAACTTCAACTGTATCCTTGAAAGCTTGCAAACAGTTCACTGTGCCTGATAAAATGTATAAGTAAAGAAGCTTAGCACGACTGAGCAGCCCAGCTTGTCGGTGTTCACCTGCATCTCTACTTGTATGTCTTTCTCCTTTCTCTAACTTTTTCCTTCACATGACCAAATCCTGAGGAGAACACCAAGAGTATTACCGTCCAGAGAGATGTTACTCTTAAGCTTGCTGGCAGACGCTGACATCTGCGGAACATTATACCAAACAATAAACATTATACAAAGAATAGCGAACTTGGGACCAGCAGATGGTGTAATGGTTATTTTGCTGGACTCCCTTGTAGTCAACTACAGTTTGAGTCCCAGACCTGGTGACTTAAAACTAATTCCAGGGGTGTGTGAGTGCATGCCCAAAATCCCAAGAGGAGAATGGAGGAGAAGGCGTTAGGGCATGGCAATCCCCCCCATGGGGTGATCTATCTCTGTCTCTTCAGCAAGTGCACATGCCCTACAGCAAAAAAATATCTCTTAAAAAAAAAAGAAGAGCCAACTTTAGTAAAATAAGAATAAATTTTCTAGACCTGATTTAAATAGCGATGTAAAACCCAATTGTCCAACAATTATAGAAATTTTATGAAGGATGGAAAATAATTTGACAAAGAAAAATCCAGCTTAAACTTTGTAAAGGTGAATTATATCTAATATTTAATAAATACATGTGTTTAAGTGTATGAAAGTCTTCTAGATAAGAGAGGAAGTAGATACGTAATTGAACATATTTTAGATATTTAGATGTAGTTTCATGCCAAAGATACAATGACATCAGAAGAAAGAAGATGACAGGCCACTTCTATTAAGAGACATGTATTTATTTATTGTGACCAGCAGATGGTGTAATGGTTACATCACTGGACTCCCACATAGTCAACGGTGGTTCAAGTCCCAGACCCAGCAGCTTAAAACTCATGCCAGGCACATGTGTGTATACCCCAAATCCCAAGAGGAGAATGGAGGAGAAGCGACTGTGGCATGGCCAATTCCCCAGGGGGTGATTTCTCACTTTCTGTCTGTCTGTCTCTCTGGTAACTGCACATGCCCCATAGCAAAAATCTTTTTCAATAAAAAGAGTCATGTATTTATTAATATAATAAATAAAACAATAATGAACTATCATGACCAGTTTAAATTATTCTACTAGTATAAATTTGCATCAACATTATGAAACCTATTATAGCAAATCAACACATTAAAAATAATAAAAATGCAAAGGTACAATTTAAGAAAAAAGACTAGACACCAGGAAGGAAGAATTTTTCTCTTATAGCTATTTAATGGATTAATATATATTAAACCATTGACTTAAAATCAAGATAGCTTAGAAGTTTTCTTATTTTATCACTCCTTTTCAAAAATATACTGGAGGTTTTTACCATAAAGAATAATAACGCTTCTGTATCTTAACTTTGTATCCTACAACTTTACTGTATTTGTGCATTACTTCCAGAAATTTCTTCATGGAAATCATTGGGTCTTCTATGTACACAATCATGTCATCTGCGAATAGAGAGAGTTTCACCTCTTCTTTTCCTATTTGTATGCCTTTAATTTTAGCATTTCTATATACAAACAACAGGCAGACGGAGATAGAACTGAAAAAAATTATTCCATTTACCATAGCCACTAAAAGTATAAGATACTTAGGGATAAATCTAACCAAAGAAGTTAAAGACCTCCACAAGGAAAACTATGAGAAGCTAAAAAAAGAAATTGAAAATGACACAAAAAAGTGGAAGGACATCCCATGTTCCTGGATTGGAAGAATTAATATAACCAAAATGGCAATTCTACCCAAATTAATCTACCTCTTAAATGCAATGTGAATCAAAGTACCAAACACATTCTTCACAGATTTAGAAAAGACAATCATAAAATTCATCTGGAATAATAAAAGACCCCATGTTGCCAAAGCAATTCTACAAAAGAAGAGTGGAGTGGGTGGCATCTCACTCCCTGACCAACAATATACTACAAAGCTGTGGTAATCAAAACAGCATGGTATTGGCATAGGAACAGACATGTGGACCAATGGAAAATAATTCAGTCCACAGGAATAAATTCCCAATCATTCAGTCAACTGATTTTTGACAAGGAGTACCAGTCAATCC